CATTAAACACAAAATGTCTAAGTTTAAATATATGCAGGCCGGGCCAGGCTGAAATGATCACCCCTACTTGACAGATTTTAGAATGGGAATCCCATTCCCCCAAGAAAGGGAATTGAAATCCATTACTGTCATAGGAATCTGAATAGGCCATTCCAATGGTGATAAGAATCAACCGACGGTAAGCATCCATTCTCCTCATTTTCCTTCCAAACCTGTTATTCCTTTCTACAGACCACCGATGGCGATTTCTCTGTTTCAAGACAAGTGTTGATCAGCAAATGGGTTGGGGCGTTTATCGCCGGCTATCCAACATCACGAGCTTTGACCCAATGGCATCCTCGTTTGGATCAATCTACGTGATGGATAACCCACTCACAGCCACACCCGATATAAATTGCTCAGGGACTCCATGCCATGTCTTCGCATTGTCGTAGATTGATCAAAAGCTTGAAATGTTTAGTCTAAAAACAAGTATTCCCATCCAATAATAGCTTGTTCTCTCCATTTTTTATCAAACCTTTTATCTTGGTGTTAAGGAAATACAGTTTGAGACAAAAAATTGTTAGATTTTCAATTTAAGAACTTATAATTAAGACTGACAAGTACAACCGGTTTACACTTGTTGCCGGTTGATTTCACACGGTCGGTGAAACAAAGAAATCACCACTAGTGGTGGTCTGTAGAAATGAAGAATATCGGATTAGAGAGTAATAACAGGTTTGGAAGGAAAATGAGGAGGGTGGATGCTTATCGCCGGTTGATTCTTGTCGCTAGTTGACTCCACGCCATCGGACTTGCTGAAATCGTCGCCGGTGGCCTCTTGCTCTTGAGCTAGGGCTTGGGTGAAAATGAAACTAGGAAAAGAGAATTCAAACATGAGGGGAAAAGATAAGGGGTTCGGGTTTTATTTTTACCTAACCGGTTGAACCGGGCTAGCAACCTTAACAGACTCATTATGTTAACCGTCTGTTTGGTTTGTGTGATTGGRATGAGAAAATAGGAATATTCTTCCAAGATTTCTATTTTTTCAGGTTTGTATTGGGCAAAAGGGTGAGATATGACGAGAATATACGTCTCAATTTCTGGGATACGGGGTCTCACCAAACAGGTGTGACCCCACTGAGAAAGAAAGCTAAGTGAGAAAATTTCATTGAGGGAGGCAATTGAGCGTAGTCTTCTTCTCAGATGCCGTCCAACGATTTACTCACTGGTGCCATCTCCGGTTTTCATTGCCAKAAAACAACTTCTGGCTTTTGGCATCTGCCTCTTCTAGAAAACAGCTTCCAGCTTCCGGCATCCAACAATTTTCATTGCCAAAAAATGGCTTCCGGCATTTGCCTCTTCCAAATCTGGCATCGTTCTTCCACTGCCATTCTTCCACCGTCGTTCTTCCACTGGTCTCTGACTCTTTTGACGTCTGCCTCTTCCAGAAAATGGCTTCCAATAACTTCCATTAGGGCTGTTCATGGGTTGGGTTGGGTCGGTTTATTGGCGTTTTTCCAACCGACCCGACCTGGTCGGTTTACCTAAAAATGAAACCGAAACCGAACCAGTACTAAATAAAACCGACTTGGTCAGTTTGAATCGGTTTGGGTCGGTTTTGTGAATGATTCTCTTGGTGTGAATGGTAAAGGATTCAAGTCTAAGAAAGCAAAGGCTGGATGCCTGGAAATTAAAAATGATTTGATGGATTTAAACTGATATTTTATATATCAAATATTTTACATATAATATGTATATTTATGAAATAAAACTGAAATATATATTAAAAGTGAAATATATCAGATATATATAATATCTGAAATGTATTATATATAATATATATCTAAGTCGGTTTGGGTCAGTTCGGTTTCGATTTTCATACCCGAAACCGATCGATGCTGAAGAAAAACCGGCCAACTCAGGTTGGATCGGACCGGATTGGTCGATTTGGGTCTTGTTATGAACAACCCTAACTTCCATTTCTTCTCTCTTAAACAAATTAGTCTTAGCAACCAAATACAAGTAACGGGGTTGAGAAAAAAATTTCCTTCTCATTTTATCTCATCTCATCTCATCCTTTCTCAGCAACCAAACGACTATGTAATTCCCGAATAGGGCGACGTGCACGCCTCCTATCGGAGGTTCACGCGCCCCGTGAATCAAAGGGTCCACTTAATCCGTATCTGCAATTACCTTCCTTCACAGGATGCGAGCTGAGTCTCAAAACTCATTTGTTTTTAAGCTATGCAAGAAGCATGGCAACGGGAATACGAACTCATGGAAACATCTCACTTCTCGCTGTAATTTCTTCTTCTTCTTCGTTGTAGTCTTTATGTTTATCTCGTTCTTTGGTGGGTGACATGTTATCAGGGTTACCTGCACATCTTTACGAAGACATATTTGGAGTGTATGGATTGAGGAGTTCTTGTTAACACTTAAGATTGGTGACACTGGAGATTTTTAACAATTTCAGTACGTTTCTGATCTCTCTCTCTCTCTTGAATTGCTATACGTTTTTTTATGTCTTCTTGTATCATTTTGGCTTCCCCTGTAATGGGCTTCCACTATGTTATATTTTAACCACAAAGAGAATGTCCTTTAGGTGTTCGATATGATGCCAAACAGAAAATGCTTTGAGTTTTTGTTAGTAAAAAGAGGAATTCGGGTCACCTTTTAACATTGTCGTGGTAACAGTTGCTGTTTCTTCAAACTGAAAATAACAGCTGTCCATACTTGTGGTTTGGCGCGTCTAGAACCCAGAGCAGGTTTGGGTTAAGTGCAGTGCATACGGAGCCTGACCTATTGACATTCTCACTCAGAGGCCCACCCACACCAACTTCTACTTCCTTGTCCATTGCTAACTGTCACTACTTAGGCAAGGAGATTCTGGGGGGCCTTTGGTCATGCATCAATGATGCCAAACCGACTCTGGGTTCCACACACATTGAACTTGAGGATTTATATGTATCCAATCCTTGTTGTTGGTTTTTGAAATAACAATAAGTCAATAATAAATTTGGCAACCCCAACACGTGTTCGGTATCTACATTCATGTCTATCATGGGTGGTTTGGGTATAAAAGTCTAGATATCATAGATTTGAAGTTAATATTACCAATTTTAGAAATTTAGTGAAGGTTCAAAGACATTAATTTTGAACATTTTAAAACTTTAAATGGAATAACAAAAATTTCCCCAAATCTTAATTGTAACCAATTTTTACTTGCCTGTTGAAACTCTAAAATGTAAGCATTTTTAAAACTGCTATATCTTGAAATTTGATCTAAAAATTTTTGAACGTATGTTGAATGTAAAGTCCTTGTCTACAGATGATAGAATATTGGATGCTTGGGCCAAGCTCATTAGTTAATGGTTTTTAGAAAGTCTTGCATCCCACTACAATGTTAAAGAGTTGGAGCCAACCTTCACCCTTTCACTCTTAGTGGTGACCCAACTTCAGATTGAATTGTATTTGTTCCTTAAAAAGACTATTGTGATACTATTTGTTGGTGACGCTATCCTTGTTGAAATAACTTAGTTTATTTTAAGTTTAGTGCCGCAAGGGCACCTTTGTAATTTTCTCTTTTCTTTTTTTTTTTTTTTCTGTATGGTCGCCCTAGTATAAATACCAAATAAACTAGCGCCGCTAGTTGACTTTTTGCCTCTTTCAATTCTATATCTCTTCTCTTTTTTCTCTCTTCTCCCTTCTCCTTCTTCTCTTCTCTCTGTTCTGGAATCACACCATCTCAACACCAAGAAAACATGGTATCAGAGCGGCAGATCCAATCTTAAGACCAGGGCGGCGCTTCTTTCCTTTTTTGTCTATTGGTGATTGAACCAAAGAAAAAGATCTATGGTGGACGTGTGAGGAATCTCACTGCATGACTGTTCCTTTTTCTTGGTCGTGAGCCCAGAAACTATCAAAAAGAAAAAAAAATCGAATGCTGTGAGTTATTTTAGTTTTCCTTCCTCAGTTTGTGGATCAAACTGATCCTTTTGTACCCAGATGTGTGGGTTATGTGGGTCTAATGACCTGCGGCTAGTGTGAGATTGTTTTCTCTCATTGTATGTGGATCGAGTGATCCTTATTATGCCCAGAAAGGTGTTATTGCTTCAAGACTACAGATCTGTAACTGCTGTGACAGCAGTTTGTTTCCTTCTTCTATTCATATTGAACCTAAGTTACTGTGTGAAAGTTGTTTTGTTGCTAGAAGGAATGGTCAGATCTGTTTTTTGATATACCTTACACATTTGAAATGGTGTGTGATCAGTAATGGTATGTGATCAGTCTGAAAGGGTTCAGTAGGGCTGAAATCTGAGAACAGTAATGGTGTGTGACCAGCTGTGATTTCCTTGTGTTTTGTGTCCAGAAGTGTGGCTGAACTGAAAACTTGATCAGATTGCTGCAACCTATTTTTTGATTGTACTGTGGGTCTGAACTGAACTGAAAACTTGTTCTCTAGCTGGTTTGTGACTGATCAGATTTAGTTTCTATGTCTTCAGAAGATTCTGGTATGTCTGGTGTTACCTCTAGTCAGAGTGGGACGAGCAGAGGTTTTGACATGAGTTTTCCCATGGTTGTGATTCCCTTTGATGGCCTCAATTACCTAGAATGGTCAAGGGGAATCAAGCTTTACATAACTGCAAGGGAAAAAGCAAGGTATATCAATGGCAGAATTAGAGAACCCCAGTATAGTGGTGTGGAACATGATAAGTGGGACCAGGAAAACATCATGGTGATGTCATGGTTGTTATTGTCTATGCTGCCACAAGTGAGAAAGACCTTCATGTGGGTAGAAACAACTCATGAGATATGGAGCAGGCACAGTCTACATACTTCGAACAACAACATTATGCTAAAATATATCAGTTGCAGGCTGCCTCCTCAACTTGTAAACAGGGGGAGAGGAGTCTCTCCGTCTACTATTCAGACCTGACTTCTGTTTGGAAGGAACTAGATCACTATCAGAATATAGACTGGAAGTGTGATGCAGATGCCAAAGCATACAAGTCTCTGGTTTCCCAACAACGAGCGTTTGTAAAAAGCCGGATCAGAAGCCAAAGTGGGCTCAGGTTTCCCAACAACTAGATCACTATYAGAATATAGACTGGAAGTCTCTAGTTTCACGGAAAGCCAAAGTGGGTTTAGGAAATGAGTAAAAAACCGGATCAGAATAGGAAGCCAGGACAGCAAGGTCAGAGAAAGTTTAATGCAGCAAATTTAGCCTCTCAAGAGCCTCAATCATCTACCACCACTATGAGTCCTTTCGGGACTGACCCGAGGGAAGATATCATTAATTCTTTCTGTGACCATTTAGAGTTGTATCGGAGGGCAATATGCCAGATGGATTCTGCTTATCCACCCTCGACTTCCTTTGCATCTACATCAGGTAACGGTAATTCTGCCACAACTTTCCATGTGTCCTCTCATCTCTCAGACTCTCATTGGATAATAGATTCTGGAGCCTCGAACCATATGACGGGTAAGTCCAATTGTTTTCAATCTTATCATCTATTATTTGGTCAAGACAAGGTGAGACTTGTTGATGGTTTTTCTCCACCATAGCTGGTCAAGGAACCATCTCCCTTCCTCTTGGACTCACCCTCTCTGATGTTCTACATATTCCTAAACTGCCCATAAATTTGTTCTCTGTTAGTAGTATAAAAAATTTATTGAACTGCTTAGTAACATTTTTTCCTTCCTCTTGTATGATACAGGATTTGGCCTTGGGGAAGACGATTGGTAAAGGTCGTATGGTAGATGGTCTTACATGCTGGAGAATAAAGCTTGTCTTGTGGTTATTGAGTCTAAGAGTCTGTCTAATAAGAGTCAAGTCCTTTTATGGCACAATCGTTTGGGTCATTTATCTTTTGAGTCATTGAAAGTTTTGTTACCACATTTATTTAAATCAGTGTCAGTGTCGGATTTCACATGTCAAACTTGTCAGTTGAGCAAACATTGTAGAAATCACTTTACTTCAAGAAATAATAAATCTAATTTTCCTTTCCATATTATGTATTCTGATGTCTGGGGCCCTATTACTTTAACAATCGAGTTTGGCTATAGATATTTCATTACACTTATTGATGACTACTCCCGATATACATGGGTGTACCCTATGCGGTCCAGAGATGAAGTACCAAAAATCATTAAAGATTTACAATGCTTGATATTCACTCAGTTTCAAACGGAAATCTAAATTGTCCAATCAGACAATGCCAAAGAATATTTCCATAGTGATCTCACGGGGTTCTTTGCTTCGTGTGGATCCATACACTGTAGCTCTTGCGCTAGAACCCCCCCAGCAAAATGGTGTTACTGAAAGAAAGAATCGTCATCTCCTTGAAGTTGCTCGCGGGTTACTTATACACATGAATGTTCCTAAGGGTCTGTTTGATTGTTGGGAAAATTGGACTGAGAAAGGATGGGATGAGAAGAGGAAAAATTATTTTCTCAGTTAGTTATAATGTGTTTGTTTGCTGAGAAAATTTTTATGAGAAAATCCACTTTCCAGTGTTTGTTTTGCAAGAAAATTTATAGGAGAAAAATCATACTCAACTATAAAAATGCATGTAATTTACTTTTATGACAACTTGCACCCCCCAAATGTATGACACATACGATTAAACTTGCCACGATAGTGTTATTAAACTTGCTCATTCAAAAATTTTACTTAAAAAGAGTAAGAAATGTTTCATTATTTGGACCTTCTCATTCATTCTAGAATGACTATATAGTTTACATGCTGGAAAAGTAGTAAAAGAAAACAAAAATAAAAAAAAAGAGCAACCATTAACCATGAATAAGTTTACTTCCTTCACTGTTACTAATCAAAGCTACATGAAAGCACACATTACACTTTTTTTCTTTTTTGATAGCTAAATCATCATAATGATGCATAYRTACTCRTATACATGRTAAAGARTKAGAGTCTCATTTCAGAATTTTTGATAGCTAATCTGATTAAGAACTGATAATCAATGAATTCCAAAAATACGCTAGAATTCAGTTATATAAACTAATAACTAGTATTTATTAACAAATTCAGTTACCAAAAGTTCCAGGGATGTCCTTCATAGTCATTCAAAATTTACTGATATGATTGCTGTTGCCGAGGCAGTGATTGAAGGGTAATGGGTTTGGCCACTCCATTATATTGTATGGTCCCTTTCTTGATAAAAACAACAAACAATGAACCATTTATTGTGTGGATTCTTAGAGCCTAAACCTTAGAATGTTTAATCAGAGGTATGGTTCTATTATTCTCTTCCCTTTCCCTTGGCTGGATCTCATTGAGTCATGTCCTTTCCCCTTCTTCTTTACTTTTTATTACCCTTCTTTCCTTCATTACTGAATTACAAACAATAATTGCATTTTTTAAGCAGATTGATTGCTTTCAACCTAAGAAAGATTATATGAAAGTAAAGAACTAAGGATCCCTACCTACATTTGCATGTACAACAAGAAGTGGG